GGGCGCAGAGGGTGATCTTTCAAAAGTTCCTTTTCCCAAGGGCCTTTGGGAAGGGCACCCCCGCTCCCACTTGAAGATTAAAGCCTCTTGGATCCAGAAGCAAAGCAAATTCTGACTCCAGCTCCTAGTAGGCTGAAGTAGGCTGGAATCACGGCCAGATTACTGACCAGAGAGTACTGACCTAGCTTAGTCACACTCACTGTGTAAGTCTTGGTTAAGTCATTTACCTTCCCCCAGCCTTTCATTCCTCATCTGTAAAATGGAGGGAAAATACCTCTTCTAACTAGCAAATGAGTAATTGGTGAAAGCTGAATGCAAGGTGCTGGTGTTATCCAAGCACTCAAAGAGGGGAAGGGAAACATTGCTCTCTCTGGGGAGCAGAGGCAGCAGGAACCATGCCATTTTTGTTGGAGGGTTGCTTGCTTCCTGGAGTTTCTTGGGGAGGTGAGAATGATGTACCCACTGTGGCAGCCACCATCCTTCCTGCCTCTCTCTCCCCATAGAGCTCAGTGTAGGGGAAGCTCCCGTACCTGTGTGCAGGTGAGACAGCTGTAAATCAGGGCTCCGGAATTCCTTCTCCACCAAGATGTTTCCTCCAAGACATGTACTGATAAATTGAGGCGTCTACTCAAAGCCTCTTGTGTTTGATACCTTGCCTTTCAGCCACAGGGCAGTCCTGTCTCACAATCCCAGAGAGTTCTTGACTGGGCTGTAGATAAGAAGTTTGGGGATGGGAACCACAGTTGAAATTAAACAGCCCAGGCTGGACGTGGTGGCTCATGCCTGTATTCCCAGCACTTTGGGAGGCCGAGGAGGCAGACCACAAGGTCAGGAGTTCGAGATCAGCCTGGACAACATGGTGAAACCCTGTCTCTACTGAAAATACAAAACCTAGCTGAGTGTGGTGTCACGTGCCTGTAATCCCAACTACTCAGGAAGCTGAGGTAGGAGAATCATTTAAACCTGGGAATCAGAGGTTGCAATGAGCCAAGATGGCGCCATTGCACTCCAGCCTGAGCGACAGAGCAATACTCTGTCGAGAGAGAGAGAGAGAGAGATAGAGAGAGAGAAAGAACGAGCCCCAAAAAGGTGAGCACTGTTGCCAACCCTTTCAAGATTTACCTGCACTCTAAGACTATGAATGCCAGAGTTGATCTAGCATTTGCTTTTATCAGAACTCTGCACACTGAAAGATTGGAGCAGGCTCCCCAGCCACTGCTTTGGCCTGACAAAGGCCCAGGTAGATGACCATCATGGGAGAGGTTGGGGGAGCAGTAAGAGAACTCACCTCTGCAGCATCCAAAGCACCTTGGATCTCTTGCAGGAGCTTCACCCTGGACCTGCAGGATCAGGCGTGCCAAGCGTTCTGCTGCAGGCTCTGCAGGGGACCCCCAGGCAAGCTGCTGAGCTGCTGTTGACTCCAGGCAGAAGCTGCAGCACAAGAGTCCATTGCTCAGCGCTTTGTGATGCCGCTTCTGAGTAACAGATGGCAGACAGTTACACAACACCGCCAAGCTTTTGAGATGTGCAGCACCACCACACTGCTCACCACACTGCTGGGATGCTAAGGTGACTCATTCCGACTGTTGGGCATATAGGGAAACTGAGGCCCTGGGGTGAAGACAGGTCCATGCAGGGCCTGCAATGTCTGGGAGAGTGGGAATTTCCTTCCAAGAATGATTTGCTTCTCAAATCATTATTTTGTCCTCTACTCAAATGGGGAAGATTTTCTGGGCCTACGGAAGCTGTCAAGGGAATTCAGGTTTGGTAGGTGTCATTAGCTGATCCAGCCAGAGAGCACATTAATCTCGGTTGTCAAACCGGTAAATGCCCTTAGGACTGAAGTCAATTTCAAGTGGTACTTCAAACATCTGGAAGTGAAATGAGTGTCCATGTGGGACTTGGTTCTGTAGGTCTCTCCAGGTACCCAGTCTATCCAGGGGCCCCCCATGCTCAGGAATATATTTGAAACCCTTTAATAATCAGCTTTAAGTGTGGGAAACATCGTGGGACCCTGTCTCTAAACAAACAAACAAACAAGTACCCAGGAGTAGTGGCATGTGTCTGCGGTCCCAGGCACTTGGGAGGCTAAGACAGGAGGATTATTTGAACCCAGGATTTTGAGGCTGCAGTGAGCTATGATCTCACCACTGCACTCCAGCCTGGGTGATGGAGCCAGACCCTGTCTCAAAATAAATAAATAAATAAACAAAATAACCAGCTTAAGTAATGCAGAGCATGGTTGATCCCAGTGGAGGATTAGCTATCATTGGCGATTAATCCAAGTTACTTTTTTCTTATCACAGCCGATATGGGGAGGAAAATCTCCTAGCAAAATATTTAACATGGCAGGAGATTAAAAAAATACACTCTGAATTAGGACTCTCCTGGTGCCCTAAAACACATCTACCTCCAGGTCTTGTTATTTTTGAGCAAGCTCCTCATTTCGCTGGGTCTGTGGTTTCCCATCTGCAATGTCACGTTCTCTCAAAGACCCTCCCAGCTGACGCATTTAGGATTCAGACCTTCCTTGTCCTGGGTCAGGACCTTCTTTACCACTCCTTTTGGCGAGTTCTGTGTAAGCTGTTCTCTCCTCACAGCCGAAGACATTAGAGAGCAAATTGGGTACTGGAGCAGATGTGAGTCATTCATGTTAGTATAAAAACTATGGAATGAAACCCATTATGGCCCGGAAAGCTGTGTAAAGCAGCATATGGAGCAAATGCAAGCTGGAAGCAGGAGGAAGCTATGAAGTCCGATGCATATGCTCTGCGGCGGCTTTTGCTGTGGGCTCTCACACTTCACGTCTCGTTTCCTGTAGCCGTCTCCCCGTCATTCTCGCTCAGCCCACTGCAGAGGCTGCAGCCTTTGTTCCTTTTGGATCAGATTCTCTGAGTCCCTCCTCTCTGCCCACTGTGTGACTTCAGGGAGGCTGTGTGAGCCCGAGTGGCTGTGTGTGTGCGCCTTGCCATCTGCACGCTTATTAGACCTGTCACAACCAGCGAGACCCCCTCTGTGCCAACCTAATGAAATTTCACCCACAAAAGCCCAGACGGTTTTCTGTTGAGGTCTTTACCTCTTCTGGGCCATAGAGAAAGGTAAGCAGTAGCTGGGCGGATTGCAGTACAGTGGGAAGATGAGCCGTACACATGTTGGCCCAGTCCTGGCAGGGTTCCCCAGCAGCAAAAAGAGCAGCAGTGAAAATTCAAAGATCTGTCTGTCTTTATTCCAGAGTCCTACAGATACAGGTCTTTGGACTGACTCCTGCAGTTGGCTCTGTTCAAGTTCTCCACTGTAAATAATACATCAACCCCCCTTTCCTCTGTGTTTCTCTCCATTTTCCTCGCCACTGTAGAGCCTGTCAAAACCGCATGTCCGGGGCCTCCTGCAAGGCTTTCTTATAAAGTGAGTGATGGAATAGTTTAAACCACATGGTAAATGAGGATGAGCTATTACCAACCCCTTACCTCATCTTTCTGTCACGTGTCGGTGCATCTTTGTCAAAAGAATAAAGCCAGCCGGGTTTTCCTCTCATCTTTGATGAGTAGATGGGTGGCTTTATCTAAGGGATCTGACAGTCACCTTTCTGGATCTTTCTCTTTCCATTAAGCAACTCCTTTCACCAGCCCACTACCCTCAACTCCTCTCCCTCCTTTTATTCTCATATACTGCTGTATAATTCAATTCTTTGACAGGGATCTATATCTTTGCATTTCAAAGGCCTGTTTCTTTTATTGTTTGAAATGCCCCAAACTTTTCTTTGTTCCTCACCCAAATGCCAAGTGTAAAACTTAATATTACTACAATGATATGCCTTTGCTTGTTGTGTAAAATGGTTTGATCTTCAGTGATGGTGCCCTGTGGTGATCTGAGACATTTTCCTTACCTTGCCCCACCCCCCCAAAAAATGCAAAGTTCTAGCATGAAGCTGTGACCCAGTTTGCCTAAAGAAAAACAAAAGACCGGGCGTGGTGCCTCACACCGGTAATCCCAGCACTTTGGGAGGCTGAAGCTGGCAGATCACCTGAGGTCAGAGTTAGAGACCAGCCTGGCCAACATGGTGAAACCCCATCTCTACCAAAAAATGCAAAAATTAGCTGGGTGTGGTGGCAGGTGCCTGTAATCCCAGCTACTCGGGAGGCTGAGGCAGGAGGATGGTTTGAATCCAGGAGGCGGAGGTTGCAGTGAGCCAAGAGTGCACCATTGCACTCCAGCCTGGTCAACAACAGTGATACTTTGTCTCCAAAAAAAAAAGAAAAGAAAAAAGAAAGAAAAGAAAAATAAAGTAAAAGAAAATTAAAATTATTCACTTGAATTATCTAGAGGAGAATCTGAAAGAGGGTAGCACAGGCAGGAAAAAAAAAATAGAGGGAACTAAGAACAGATGTCACTCCCCAGGTCCCCAGTTTCAGACAGCCAAATCCAAGAGCCTCCTGCGTTATCTCTGAAAAAGATAGTCTTTCCTGTTAGGCTTAAACTTAGAGCATGAGTGAAAGGCAGAGGTAGGCAGGAGAGCTCAAATCCAAGAAGGAATAGAACTGTGATGGGGTCTCTCCAATCTGGCTAGGACTTCAATAGCAGGAGGAGCCAAGTATACCCCAGGAGTGGACGTGGGACAATCCAGTATAACCTCTAGTGACTGATGGCAGATTTTGTCATCAAGTCACTACCAGATATTGCACATTGAGCAGGGTGACTTTATGCTCCAGTTTGCTTGGGAAAACCCTGGTTTATTCTTATTTTTCTGGCAGAATTAATACTGCTTCATTTTCAAGAAATTTCTATTTTAAACAATAAATTAGAGGCCACTCTAATGAACAGCAGGACTTCTGGTGATGGTTACAGAAGGAAAATTGCTTTTCTTAGATGAGTAAAAATGTGGGTTTGCTATTTAAGTTGTTTTGTGTGTGTGCTGAACTTGAGATACTCTAAATGTCCATGTGGGACATTATTCTAAATAAATAATATTCAAGATGATTATTCAAAGAAGAGACAATTTGGACAAATTAAGCCAGCTTTAAGTAACTAAGAAAGTAATTAGGTTGTGCATATCAGTCAATGACAGGGGTAACCTTCCACCCAACTGAAGATGTTTTTACCCACGTTATAGCTCATGGAAGCGGCCAGGTAGCAGCAGACGATCTCTGTGAAGAGCAAGGGATTCCTAACACCAGACTCCAATCATTCTTCCAACAACCTCTTTCTTTCAACCAAATACCTACATGGGCCATGAAAGTAACATGAATGAGTGAAATGGGACAGGGTCAGGAGAAAAAAACAGCATAACACCATGACAACAATGAAACTGATATTCAACCTTCATGTTGAGGACACAGGAGGGAGCATTGCAGTCCACACAGGACGAGCAAGGAATCAGCTCCAACTCATCATTGCCAGTGCCAGTAAAGTGTTGTCAGAGTTATCCAACTTCTCAACAGAAGCATAAGTCCAGATGATGATGTGAAACTCCTGGATCTTAACTGCTATCAACTAATTCAATAACCCCCACCACCAGCCCACCAAAATATTGGATGGGGTAAATAAACAGGTCTGCAATCCAAATCCAGCCTGCTGCTTGCGAGATTGCAACCTCTACTCGAGCCACCAATGTTTCCATAAGCACTGAAGTCTTCCTGGTTTCCATCTTCTAATGGGGGAACAGATTTACCCAGCTAGGACAAAGGGTAAAGAATGCACCAGATTATATTAGGAGGGGCCTTGGACCCTAACATAGTTCAACACCCCTCATTTTGTAATTGAGAAAAGTGGAGCCAAGAGAAATTGCATGAACTGCCTACAGCAGGATGAGTTCATTGGTAAAGTGTGGGCTACAATACATCTACCTTACCCTACGTTGATGCCAAGTGACATCCCTCACTAGGTTTCACAGGACAAGTGAATCAGGGAGCTGAGACATTTCTGGAGGGGATGGGGGGTAGCTACTGCTAAGCCCAGAAGTTTCTAGGTAATGTGTAAAACAACGAACAAAGATACTGTGAGCAAGATTCTGGGTAATTTGTGAGGAATACAAGTAAATAAAGCCTATTCCAGCTCTTCTAGAAAATGTAAGCAGGTGATTTGAACAAAGACTTGAATGTTAAAAGATCTGGTCCTTCCTCTTGGGTTTCTGTTGAGTAATGTTGAGTCCTAGATAAAGGCATTTCAGTCCGCCTGAGAAATAGCCACATTGCAACAGGAAAGTTGTTTCTGCAGCTATGGGCTGCACCTGTCTTCGGTTTCCCTCTCTAAGTGCTGTGCAAATGTTAATTAAACATAGATTATTTGAGAAGTGCTTTTAGTGTTTGAACTCAACTGGGCTGCGTCAGATGATGATATTAATATCATTCCCCTGTTGGCAGAATGCTGTTTTTTAAAATAAAAACTCTTTTCCTTTTACAGTTTTTGCCACACAGACAATTTATTTTGCACATCCTCTGGCTATTTCACCTTTTGTGTCATCATTTTCATGAGACAAGTGAAAATAATATTTCTCTTATGCTCCAAAGAGCCAAATCCCTTTTTCTAGCTTGATCCGAAGAAGGCCAGTTGTAGCCGTAATGGGAAAAAGCCTGATGTACAGTCCAAGTGCAAATCCTCAGGGAGAAATAATGCATCTCTTTGGGGAAAAAAATAGCTTATACTTATAAAGTAGGAGATTTTCAATTTGTAAAGGTTTCCTATTTCTTTCAATTGCCAGGATAACTGCATTCCAGAAAGGTTGGGCTTCCTGTGTAAGGCAGAACTGCTCTCTTAGATCTGGGATGTAGATTTAAAAATGATGAGTGACAAGCATCCCTCTCCATGCCCTGGACCACTGCGCCGGGGGTTTTAAAGCAGTGCAGATCAAAGGGTTAAAATCCATTACCCAGAGAGATGGAAAAGTTCCTCTCAGTGATTTCTTCCCCTATCATTGCTCTCAGGCCTGAATTCCAAATTGATTTCCTTAATAACTATTAAAGATCTTTTTAATTAAACCAGGCATCCTCTTCCTTGGCAAACTTTTCTTGATGACATCTCTGGTTAATTAAAGGTTTAAGCTGCAAAGACGTATTACATAAGAACAAGGGAAGCTGCTTTATGGCACGCCAGTGAAGGATCCTGCTGATTCCTGCTGCAGAAGCCAGGGCTATGCCAGAGAGCTGATCTCGTTTCCCTTTACAGCGTTTCCTTTCTTTTAGAGGCCCCAGAAAGTGTTAATAATAAAAATGGTTTGGTGAGTGGGGGTTAATTTTTCTGTTTCCTGAGGTTCAGTTTCTCCTTTCATGCTTGCCTGGTAAGTGTTCATCAAGTGTTTTTCATTAAAAACATCACTCATTTTGATCACGATTCACTGATGCTGACAAAACATTTTACCTTTTCATCCAAAATTCCTGAGGTAGTTGATACACTTGGTAATCAAAGAACAATGAATAAAAACCTCTTTTCACCCATCAATAACATGCAACCACCTCTATAATAGAATGTACCACATTCTAACAAGAAAAAATCATATTTTGTATATATGTTTCCATATATGATCTTGCATATATATATATATATATATATATATTTGTTGTTGTCATTGTTGTAAATTTCCCCAACTCATTTACCTTTTTCTTTTTCCTGGTTCATTTCTTTTTACCAGGACCCCTATTTAAAATGACAGAACAGAGTATGTCACTATGGAATGGAACTTTTTTTCATGAAAAGTTAAATACCTCTTAAATTGGGAATCGAACCTGTGACCTTGACTTTGTTGTCATCATAGTTTAAAACACTGGGTCTCAAACCTAGATATACATTAGAATTATTTCTTGTTATTGCTGAGAGTCACATGCCACTGCCTCACCCTAAGCCTGCTAAAATTTTATGGATGATGTCTCTAGGCACCCAAGTTTGGAAACTACTGATCTAATCAGTACCTTCCAGTCCAATCAGTTCTCATTAGCCTCCCCGGATGTGAGAAAGATGGTGCACTGTTTCAATATTTCAGTCTAACAAACAAATCAGACCTCACCAGTATCACACAGGAAAAGTGGCTCCAATTCTGATGAAATATCAAGGATGAGATTTAAAAGATTTTCTTTTATTTTCCTCTTAAACTGGAACCAGGAGCACAGACAATTCCATGCCATAATCAGTCATGTGGAGAGACCATTCACAGATTGTCACTGGTCATAGTTCTATAGCTCTACATCAGTGGTTCTCAAAGCATTAGGGAGAATCAAAATCACCGGAAGAATTTATTTTACAGGGCACTTTATTATAAAAAGTTTCAAACATATGGAAAAATAGAACAATAGTATATTTGACACCCACACATGTAGTATACCTAGATTCAAAGAATGTTAATGTTTTGCCGTGTATGTACGTGCCCACACATGCATGGGTTTGTAATTGCTGAACCATTAAAAGGTAAATTACAGATGTCATAATATATAACACCTAAATAATAACGCTAAACAACCCAGAAGTACTTCAGCATGCCTTCCCCAGAATGAATAGCATCTGCCAATATAACCACGGCACCATTAACACACCTAAATGTATTTAAAATAATGTCCTATGATCATATAACACCAATTTTTAAGAAAGTTAAGAAGACCAAAACAAAATAAAACAGCAAAGCTTCCAGGGCCAGATTCCCAAAATCTTTGATTCAGTTAGGTGATGCTTTGTGAAATGCTACTGTACACAACTAACCAATGAAGAATGCTTGTCTTTCCAATAACTGAAAGGAAGTTCATTTTTTTGTACTTGAAAATTACTTGGTTATTTGCATGGTACTTAACAGTCACAATTTAATTGAATGCTCTTGGCAATGCTGCCCTAAGAGAGATAGAGTAATGATAAAACTGGGGCCCAGGATTGGTGAGACCAGCCCAGGTTTTCTAGGTAGCTAACAGTGGTGGCTGTATTCCAACGCTGGTGTAATGGCAGGATACCAGGCTGGGAGTCTGAAACCGGAATTCTGGTTTTCTCTCCGCTCCTAACTCTGCCTATGTGATTTGGGGCATTGGGCCAAACTTCTCTGGACTTTCATGTCTTCTTCTGAAAAGTGAAGAACTAAATCAGTGGTCTCCAAGAGATTTTCTATTTGGATCTTCCTTTTATTCAATACATTTCTGCCTTCTTTACTAAAACTTTTCATTCATCTCCATTTGGCCCCATAGCAAATTTATACAGGGGCTTATTGAGTCATAAAGGAAATAACCGCTATTAGAATATTGGTGAGAAAGACATGGATTTGACAAAAATCTTACCACTTGCTATGGCCAAATACAGCAGAATGCTGGGCGTCTGCCCCTGATGTTTGCTGTCTTAAGCAGCCCATTAGAAAAAAGAGTGAGTTCCCACAGAAAGAGTTACAGGAGCTCAGGCCTCCTCTTCCTCACTCCCTTAAAAGAAAACTGCAAAAATCGAAGAGCACATCTTTGGCAAAGTCAACAACTCCTAAACATAAAGGATAAGTTCCATTAACTACTCCCATTTCATTTCACAGGTGATCCCTGCTTCCCCAGCCTTCCCTGTATAACAAGAGCTCAGTGTTTCTCCAAACCTTTACCAGGTCCACTGGCATCTCCCAGCGCTGGTCCACCACAGACCTGGGGGCTGGTGGGTGAGGGCCAGAGCTATTTAGATTCTTCACTTGGGGAGACTTTCATTTCAGATGCATTGTGTGAATTTTTTACAATCAGAACGTAGTCACGCATTGCTTGTGTGATGAAAAATAAATAATTAAAATCCTTGACGGCTGATGGCTTTTTCTTTGGACTCTCAAAGACAAAGTAATCTCCAGGGTTCAGCAAAAGACGCGGCAGTTTTCACTAGTGTGTGTGGTGTGTGTGTGTTTGTGCGTATGTGTGTGTGTGAGAGAGAATGAATTCAGGGCAAGGAAGTAGTATGAGATCCCATTTATAGAAACTGAATGGGAATGGCCCATTAATGCTAATACAACACCAATAATAATGTTTAAGCACTTAGATATAGGCCATGTGTACATTAAGAGGCAATATGGAAAATAAGGTTAGAAAATCCTGGAAGAAGCTGGGCTAGTACAAAAGGGTGTGAAAGATGTTGGGTAAAAACCAACTGCCCTACTTCATATTCTCTCTCTCAATCTCTCTCGCGCTCTCTCTCTCTCTCTCTGTCTCTCTTTCTCTCCCCTGCCCTTCTCCTGGCCTCTCTTGACCTCTTTTATAATATTGTCTCTCCCTACCAGACACGGAGCCCCCTCATAACTTCACTCATGACATGCCCCTGCCATAGGTGCTCTGAGGCAATAATACAAAGCACCTGGTTCTGAAGGTAATCAATATACTAGTCTTCCGTTACTGTTGCTCAGGACTATGTGATGAAGATGAAGCCATCATCTGCAGCCTTTATGTCTTTTGAGCCTTTATACCTCCACACCTTAGTGACAATATTGGGCATATTGAAAATGCTCAACACTGTGGTTTTTCAATAATGTCTTAAAAACTGAGCATTGCCTTCCACATTGGCATCCCTGCAAAAGGAAATACGAAGTGGGCACTGGAAATAGAGCACCAACCACACCCCTCACTGACTATGTCACTGCTGCAGCTCTGGTGGGCATGTGACTTATGTTTGGCTCTCTTCATCTGAGCCACTTTCTATCTTGGGGGAATTCTCCCACTTTGATGAGAGACTGAAACAGCCTTTGCCAACAGAGTTGAAAAATACTAGCTACTTCCTTTCTAGCTTCCCTTGCAGCTAAAGCCCAGATTTACACTCTGCCAATCAAGCTTTGGCCACAAACTTCTTACCTTAGAGCTGGTGAGACAAGAGAGAAGTGAGACTAGTGACAGAGGAAAGGTCTAATTCCTGGTTCAAAGAAGTACAGTGCTGGCAGCAAGAGCAGAAGCAGACCAGCAGAGTTCCAGAATAGAAGTGGCAGTGGTGCAGATCCCGGCATTCAGTTCTCTGTGAGAGCAGCCATGGTTCCCTCATCACATCAGTTCTGCAGTCCGGTGTTAGGATCCCCTGTGGAAGCTTAGCCCTGGTTCTCTGTGAGCACCCAAAATTGGTATTTTGTTCCTGCTTTATCAGCCAGGCTAATCTTCAGTTGCTTGCAAATTAGCATTTTTTTCAAGACAGAGTCTTATTCTGTCATCCAGGATGGAGTGCAGTGGGGCAATCTCGGCTCACTGAACCTCCACCTCCCAGGTTTAAGTAATTCTCCCGTCACAGCCTCCTGAATAGCTGGGATTACAGGCTCATGCCACTATATCCAGCTAGTTTTTATATTTTTAATAGATACAGGGTTTTATCATGTTGACTAGGCTAGTCTAGAACTCCTGACCTCATGATCCGCCCACCTCGGTCTGTCAAAGTGCTGGGATTACAGGCATGAGCCACCATGCCCCTCTGCAAATCAGCATTTTTCTTATTCATCAAGGCACCAAATCTCTCTGAAGCTCAGTTTCCTCATCTTTAGAATGAGGTAAATTCTTTGGGCACAGAAGGAGATAACGTATGTCAAGTGTCCGGCACCAGGGTACTCAATACACATTATATCCCTTAAACACAAGTGCAGCAGCAGTCATAACCCCAGCTACACTGCTGCATATATTCCTGGCTGACGTTTGAGTACTTGTGTGGCTCAAGGATCCGTGCACTTCTAGAGAGATCTCATTTTATTGGTTGGTTTTTAAGCTACAGTGAGATCAGAAGGCCAGAAATAGATCAGACCCCACGTTTGCATGTAGAATTGATCAGAAACATCAAAGAATAATTTGTATAAACTGAATCCAAGAAGGGGACCAGTTCTGCCCTCAGTTCAAAATAATCACAACTCACATCTCCCCATTTCCCTGAACCCTCCAGACAAAATGGAATGACGCTGGCACAAATAAATGCTATTGTAATGCTTTCAAGAATATAATTCTTTCCATTTTTGAGATTTGCTAATACTGGAATAAGAAACAGCTGCAGAGTTATTACCTCTTGTCATCTCTTTTGCTCCCAGGCTGGGTTTTGCACTTTGTGAAGGCCCCTGTGCTGCAAGGATATTGCCATCAGGTGGTGGTGAAGAGCCACACGGACCAGGCTGGAATTCTAGGTAGCTCATAGCTAACTGCTATAGACTAGCTTTCTAAGCTTTGTGGGCTTAGAAATGGAAGCTGTTAACTGCAAAAAAGGAAAACCCCTCTAACTGGCTTATGCTAAAGGGGACAATTCATTAGATGCACAGAAGAGTATCTTACAGCACCCAAGGACAGTAGGATGGTCAGATATTGAGATTCCTCTCTCCTTTTCTCTAGGACTACATGAAGCTTGTCCCTAATCCTCTCAGCCACCCACTTCACTCTTTCCCCTGGATGTCCACATGGATTACTCTCCTCTTTCACCTTCCTGCCCTCTTTACCTGAAATAGCAGCCTCTCAATCCCATCAATCTCTATTGCCTTAGCAGCTTCATTTTCCTTCATAGCACTTATTACTGCCTGAGCATATAATATGCTTATTTATTTCTTGTCTCTCCTTTGCCTCTCTAGAATGTAAATTCCATGAGGAAAGGAACTTTGTTTTATTCACTGTTGTATCATCTGTGCTCAGAAGAGGGTGTGGCTTACAGAAGGCACTCAGTAAAACTTTTGATAAGAAATGAATGAATGAATGAATTCTCTTTCTTGTTTCTGGGTTCTCATAGAAAAATAATGGCTGCCTAACCCCAAGTCTCTGTGACTTCTTCTCTCACCTTATCCAAGCATTTAATACTAATTTACTTTCTTAGTGTTAAATCTTGAAGACAGAAAGTATCTGATTGGCTCAGTGCAGCCTACAAAAGAGTTCCTTTGAAGTCCACCAGAAAGCTTATGGTTCAGGAATAGGGCTCAGAGCACATTTTGTGTTTTCACAGCCAGGACTAGGAAAAAATAATTTGCATCCTTAAGTTAAAAACCATTATGTACTTTTTTGTATAAAATAAACTTAAACCATCAATAATCTTTGGAGAACTTGGACAATCACAAATTATTTTTGTTATTATTACACATATATACACATATTTAAACAAAAAAATTACACAAAACACACTTCTGTGACTTTCTTCCTGAATTCCCAACTGTTTCCATCAAAGCCCTTCTAAGTGGATCTTTTCAGGATCCCTGATTAGAAGGCTAGCCTCCACATGGGGTCTGAACCCTAACTCTGCAAATGAGCCTCACCTGTGATTGATCCTTAATGCTGTGGTTTCCTTTTCTCCTAAGGCAGCATTCTAGTATTTAGCTGCTAGTCTTCTGTTTGGTTATGAGATGAACTATTTTCATCCATCACTGCTCCACACCCATTATCTGTGTTTTTTTTCCAGTTAGCTTTAAAATGGGACATACTTTGCTGTAAAACTCTGCTTTTCTCTTTGACCCATTCCTCACCAAGAAGAAAATCATTCTAATCAGTTTCCTCTTCTGTTAAGTTAAGGCTGGGTGCAATCACTGTTGCATTAATTAATTAACAGACTCTTGGTCTTGTTGCCCTGGCAATGCCCGCCAAAGCAGCAGAACCTTTCCAACAGAAGAGCACATCAAGCAGTCAATTAACTGTTTTCTTCACATGCAGAAGCCAAGAGCACAGAGAACCTGCTACAGAAATCGGCTCCCAGGGGAGGCTCAGGAAACACTTGCTGACTGGCTGACAACATGTAGGCCGGCAAAGTGGGTGCTGAGTCTGCAGCCTCGAACATCTGAAGGCGTTTAGAGCTGGTGGCTGAGACACTGTCCAAGGGGAATAGCAGCCAGTGTGATTTTATAAGAGCCTCCAGTGTAGTGCCAATCCCTTAGAAATAATCTAGAAAAGCAGTGAAAGAGGGCCTACAAGCCCTTAGGTAAGGCGAGGCTGCAGCTGGGGAGGTAACCAAACCAATTCATTTCCTGGTTATTTCCGCTACCACCCCACAAGGCCACAAAGAAGAGTCTCCACTTGGGACCTTGGTGTTGAGGGCTCCACCATATTGGATCCTTGGTGTTGTGGGTTCCTCGTTGCAGGGCATTAGCCTGACTCATGCTAGGTCAGATATCCAGTCAGGAGAATCTCCCCGAGTCGAGTTGAGTAATAGAGAATGCCACCATATACATACACACAAGAACTAGCTTTCAGTTTACTTACAGATGAGCATGATATTTCTGGCTCATTTCTTCCAAGGCTGTGTTTTTGGTTCCTTTGGGAAAGTTGGGTTTTCTCAGGCACATCGCAAATTCAAGTTTAAATGGTTTGCCCCATTTCATGTTCAATCACCAATTGCTTCTCACATTTCTTTTGAATATCGAGAACAGAGAGAGAGATACACTTAAGCTAAGCTAGCCCACTTAAAGGAGAGTTTATTGAACAAATACAGAACTCACAGTTACTTGACCCAGCCACGCAGGCCTCTTCGAAACGGAATCCAAGAAACTAGAGGTGCAGGGCCCAAGCTGCTGTTCTCCCTGATGCCAACAGTCCTGGATCTCTGCCTTTCTATGACCTGGGCTATCTTCTGTCTGCAGATCTACTTCCTTATCTCTCGTTTCTGCTCCCATAACTTCAGCTTGGACTTGCCTGGGAGCCAATTGTGGCCCCATTTCTATATATGCCTTAGACCCAGGTTCTGATAAAGAGCTCTCCTAGTACCTTGCTATTCTGATTTCAGATTTTTTTTTTCTTTTTTTTTTTGAGATGGAATCTTGCTCTGTCACCCAGGCTAGAGTGCAGTGGCATGATTTCAACTCATGCAACCCCCGCCTCCTGGGTTTAAGTGATTCTCCATGAGTAGTTGGGATTACAGGCATGCATCACCACACTCGCCTAATTTTTGTATTTTTAGTAGAGACAGGGTTTCGCCATGTTTGTCAGGCTGGTCTCGAACTCCTGACCTGGTGATCTGCCTGCCTCGGCCTCTAAAAGTGCTGGGATTGCAGACGTGAGCCACTCTGCCAGGCCCCAATTTCAGATTTTAAAAGAAGAATCTGATTGGCTCACTTCTGCTCAGGAAACTGCTCTAGCCCACACAATCATATGAGAAGTAAGGGACAACAGCACAT